AAGCTAAACTCATTAATGTTATCGGTCCGCATGAGATAACCCCTCGAACCGACCTCACACCTAGCCAGCAGCTCTGACGTACTTTTTCATTTATTTTACCATTTAATCATTACAATATTATAACTTTTAACACGTGAGGTTCTTATAATACCCACCACCGCTGTTAAAGATTAAGCACACAGACACAGGGAAACTATGTTTGTTTAGTATATAAATTCACACTGTCTACGTGCGAAAACACATCGTCGAAACCCTATCAACAGATATGTTTCACAATAACCCACTCACGTATGAACTACATATTGTCCCATCATTAATGTTTAATGTCTGAATAAAGTGGGGGGAAAATAACACAATCTTCATTAAGCTGTGTGTTAATTTACAGTAGTGTCATAACATACTATTATGTTAAACTCTCCCTCTATTATGATTGGTCAGTCATTATGTTTATTTACTAAACTACGCATGTGAGATCTTAAGTACCCGAGGGTAAAAAAAACAAAACAACCCAAACAAACAAACTGGATTCATATTGCTCATGTCATACATCAACATCCAATCTCACCTTCTAGTTTTGAAGGTGTACAAAAATGATAATCGCAGATTATTTCGTAACAAACGGATCGTTAGAAATTTGAAAGTTAAGAGTAATATTTTATTTTAGTTTAGAACTCACTTTAAAGTTGAATAAGTTTTTGAGTGACCTGACCATGGTGAAAGTATGGAAATTGGAGAAGATTTCATCATTTACTTCGATTGACGTGAATTTAAGATATCAATTTGTAACAATGATGGACGACGGATTAACTTAGATACCATGGAAATCGCCGATCTCTTGGAATTTTATCAGGGATAATTTTATCAGCGGTAAGAGAAACACATTTCTGTATAAATTTCTGAGATTAGATGTAAGGTTTCATTATTAAAAATATTCATAATCCCTATGATGGTTTATAACATTGATAATCATGTTTTGTTTCAGGTAATCACCGGCGAGCGTTTATGTAGAGTATTATCCTTTAAGTAAGTTTAATAATAAATATGGTAACTTGTAATACTTACATTTTTAGCACACATGTTGATAATCCTTGTGAAACTGAACTTTCTCCAGTTCTGCTTCGCCATCAATCAAAAGATCAATTGTTTCTTTGATCTCGACAATCAATGTCTAAAATAGAAATAATTGGACACTGACGAGTTTGAATCGTCAGACTTCTTTCATCTCTATCAAAAGTAAACAGAGTGTTGTCAACTGTTAATGTTAACACATTGATATAGGTCGGAATGAAGAATCTGTTGTTAAATAGATCTTGTTCTTTCAAGAAGTTAATCAAAATCCATTTAAGTTGACGCGTCTCGTTAAAATCTAAAACTTGTTCGTTCTGCAAGTTGTCTCCGATCCTTAGTTGAAACTTAGTCCTTGATTCATCATAGATCAGTGTAAAACCCATTCCATGAACGAGAGGAAAACGTGTTTTAAAAAATTGTCTTCTGAGGGGTTCAATTTATACTAAATGTGTAATATATTCGTGGGTTGATCGAAATGCACACAAGTTCTAAACATTCTAGAAAAATGTATTGTTACAATAATAAAATGCGTAGGAGGATAGGTTTCTAGATTATACATCATAGTTCAATTTAAATTTCTCAAGTTATGATGATTTTATATTAATATTTAAATAATTTTTTATTAGATCTTGAGGATGTGTATAATTGTCACAGAAACATAAAAAGGGGTGAGTAAATTTTGTTCCTGTGCACACCTAGCAACCAAATATGTATGACGCAATAACCCACGCGGTTTCCTGTGTGCAGGTGTACGGGAGGAGTTTGAGGGACTGTAGATCTATAGAATGTATTAATAGTGACACCATTCAAACATGCAATGTCAACTGTCGCACCCTGTCCTACAAAAAGGAGAGAAAACATCCCGCGCCTGTGTATTACCCTCGCTATAAGACGCCAAGCATTAATTTCTGGGGTGTTAGCCAAAACCCCGCGTCTATGCGTTATAACAAAGTCAAGTGGAAAACATGATATTCGGTTGGAGAATACGGTGTTTTTTTGCACATCAAAATGTAATAAAAAGCTAACCTTTAGTCAAATTGGAGACCTCTGGTTGTGTTTTAAAATTATCAGTCCACAATTTGTTGAATATATGTGATATTGATAGATGAGTGCGGTAAAATACGTAACCTCTGCAGTAGCGTCAAGTTTGAATTAATGGTTACTCCTTGTGTTTTTTAACTTGAAGTCGACAACCTAGCGTCCCTGGCTTCCACCCCTTCACATTCCTCGGGGAAATTAAATTCGAAGAGAGGATGTCTTCCAAAGTATATATCTATTAATGCTTGATTCAGTGTATTTGTAATTACAGGAGAAACCAATGAACAACTATTACTTCAAACAATGCTTGAATGTATGTGGACACCTCTGTGTATCCTATTTTCGTGGACCATGCATGATCAGTGTATATTCACACATATTTTCCATTACTAGTCTTATTCAGATGTAAAGACTTATCTATTTCAATTACTATGTTAGTGCTAAAGCTAGTTCAAGTCATGATGAGAGTTAATTTAGGATAGAGTCTATGTCTTTGTCATTGTAGGATTTGGGTCCTAGAGCAGTCATTGTACATGTGTGGTTGGTGGTTATATTAAAAATTTATTCTTCCCCGCCCTTAAGGCGGGGAAGTATACGGGAGAGGTTAATTTTGGAGCATGTAAGTCGACATGTTGGTTTCTTAGAAATTTCAAGCCACACAGTTACCGAAACGAAACATACAAATCATGTGAAATGTGCGTGAAATGTTGATGTTTATCTTTTCCAGCTATAAGAGATACTTCAAAATCTTCTTGCTATTCTGAGACTTAGTCACTTTTCGTAATGCTGATAACCCATGAAATTTGTTCATTTTGTTTTTAAAAGAGCTAAAAATGATCCCATTTCGCTAAAGTTAACCGGTCTATCTTTTGTAAGAATAAACTATTGCGCATTGAGCGATTATCTCCATTAGCTATAGGCGTAGTATAGAAGTGATAAATTCACGCACTGACCTTGCATTGCTGTACATCGTATCTTATTCAAGCTGTATCACTGAGAGTGAGTGATTATCTCCCTTCCCCGAACAGTTCAATTGCGCACTACCTTTGCAATGTATCGTATGTTATTCAGGCAGCCATCGAGAAACGTTCCAGGAAGGAATTTAGGCCAAGCCTGTCAGGCGCACTCAATTTTCACACTGCTATTTCAACATATTGTTCAACACGATTAAATAACAGGCTTCTATAAAGTATGACTTTCTTCAATAAACAACACATGTAAAACAACGGGTTTGATATGATAATTTTTTTATTAGTTGTCTTCATAATCACATGTATGGCGCTTGCTGTGCATAGTTGACGGCATTGTTTTAAATATTTCACTGTAAGTAATGTATGGTACATACCGTTTCATGCGGCGGTTTACGTTTCTGCATGGTTTATTGCTTTGACAAAAAAATAATAACTTCCAGCAGAGATCATACACCCGTATATGTTCTTTGCTTCTGGATACATAGAAAATCAACAGGTTGGTCTGTAGTTTGCAATTATTTTCCAAAAAGATAATACGGTTGCATGATATCTTCACGATGTTTGGGTTGAACATAGTAACATTCTTCTAAACAAATTTCCAATCTAAGCCGGAAGCAATCACAACACAAACCCAGTTAACCAAACGGAACCATACACAAGAGTGAGTGAGGTAGTTGGGTTTAACGCCGTCTTGAATAGTATTCCGTGTCAGCTTGAAGTGGGATGAAAGTCTGAAGTGATGCAGGTCTTAGACGTTCACCACTTTGGTGAAACCAACGAGCAAGGGTTTTGTGCTGAAAACAAAATCGGGGCGAACCGAGATTCAAACACACTGTCATAGGTTTCTGGCGTGCCCAAGGGACACAACTCTGCATAGCGAATTGCAGCGCCTTCGGCGACTGGGCCAACCATGCCCCCGTAAACAACTGTAAGAAACTATTATACAACAAAGATGTTTTAGATGAGCTATGTATTGCGGAACATTCCATGAAGAAACAGTGGCAATATTGCACGATCACAAACAACAAAATACGTGCACAATAAACGACAATTAAAAAACACAGGAACATTCAACATTCAAAAGAGGTAGAATTTAATTTCTAAAACAAGTGTTTTATAATGATATGGAAACAATGTGAGAATTGAGCAAAACTATGGTAATGTAGTACATACATGTACAAGGAATTTGTTTGTAATTGTTGATATGTTAACAGATCTTGGAAGTTGTTTCTGGATAACTGTTGGTAAACTTATTAAGAATCTGCTCCTTTAACAGAGTGTACCAAATTCTTTATAATGATTGGGGATTATTTGTGATTCTCTTTCTTGGTTGTATTATGTAAGACAGTGCGTAATGTTGTTCATCTTCTGAGACATCACATGTTTCACAGAGACGTTCAAATGGGGTTGGTGTTTTTGTATATCTACAATTTTTTCAATTTTTAGTTTGTGATTACTTAAACGAAGTTTTGAGAAAAGTGACCTATGGCCTTTGTTTTTACAATATGTAAGATAATTCTCAGTATTTATAGATAACGTGACCAAACTGTATGTTCCTAACTTGCTGCTAGATAAATGGGAATCCATTAATGATTGCCTGAATTTTTACATTTGAACTGAAGTATATTTAGAGTGTATTCATTACATTTTTTGTGTTTACTATTTTAAAAGTTTGCTTTATTTAAACCAACCAACATTTTGACCAGAAATATTGATATTTGCTGCAAAAGCATGCTTTAGAGTGACATTTGTTGTGTTATCTATATAGGATTTTTTTTATTGGTACTAATAGTGGGTATACATCAAGTTTTGCCTGACAGGCCCAGTTTTCTTGCCTGGGTTTTCTTTGTGCTGACCAATTAAAGACACTGTTTCTTTTATTGTGCTTTCCAAAGATAAGTACATTAATAACAACCAATTTGTACTTAACACAAATTCTCTCCTCCCATAGCTTACACTTCCTTCCTCTGCACATAACATTATATGGCGGGGAGCTATTGATGCTCTGCAGCAATCTCTACTTGTGAACACGTGACAAAATTCCCATAGACTTACATGTTGGTTAACCGTTGCAAGAATATTTTTTCTTAAACTTAAAATAACATGTTAGTCTATGGGAATTCCATCACTTGTACGTAATAAATGCATTATGAACTATGTTAATCTTAAGTTATGTATTGCATTTCACAGAGCATAATGCATTTATGTTATAAGTATGTGTCACAATAGTCTGTGTATTTTGTGTATTTATGTTTATTTAGGAGATGTTTGTGTTAATGTAGGAATTTGTATTTGTTGACATCGACCAATGTACTTGTTAATATATGGATCATGTAACTGTTATGATTATTTCATAGAGTGAAATTTCTTAAGTTTACTGATGTCAATTGTATATTTTCTATTATTTCAGCATGTCACATCACAACCTCTTGTCAAGTACAGTTTCAAGATCTACTGATTTACATATCGGGTTTGGTACATGTTAAAAAAACAAATGACAATACACTCACATCAAGAATATTTATTCATTGCAAAATTCCGAACACTTGATCATGTTTCAAATCGATCACCTACGCTTTTTGGACTCGTTCAAATTTTTTAAACACCAGCTTGCAAACATTGGCCAACAATTTGAGAGACAAAGGTCAAAGTGAACTGTGTATTTGGCTAAAAATTATCCCGACCATGTGGATTTATTGACGAGAAAACTACCTTATTTCTACGAAAACGTAGACAGCTTCGAAAAACTAGATGAAACTGACTTTCCGAGTTGTGAGGATTTTTATTCTTCTTTAACGGAAAAAAACATTTCTGAACAGGACTATGCTTTCGCTCGCCACATTTGGGATACTTTCAAAATCACATCGACGAGAGAATTCATGGAAATGTACGTTGCTGTCGATACGTTGATATTGACCGACGTGTTCGAAGCATTTCGCGACATGTGTCTCGAATACTATAAGCTGGATCCTTGCCAGTACTTTACTCTCCTCGGGATGGCAATGAACGCATGTCTTTTGATGACGGGGGTGAGACTAGATCTCATGACAGATCCCGACATGTACAATTTTGTCTCTAACGGGGTAAGAGGAGACGTGGCTAGTATCAACCATCGCCACGCCGAAGCCAACAACAAACGCATGTCGGATTTTGATCCTTCAAAACCCACTGCTAAAGGTGTTCAAAAATCTTTCGTAAAAAAAACATCTACGTCATCAAATGTTTAAAGTCTGTCTTTTCGATCACAAACAGAACATGGCCACTTCTCATCAAATTCGATCCAAACACAACATACTTTTCACGGACAAAGTGTTCAAATTGGCTTTGACGCCTCAAGATGACAAGAGGTACTTGTTGACAGGTGGCATCGAATCTCGACCCTATGGATTTAATCCTATTTAGAACCTCTTGTAACCTTTTCATTTCAAGAAAAATTCTAAACAATTCCCTCTCATTAGTACAATAAGTGTCTAGCAAACACGGATGATATAGCGTATGGAAACTTCATCCCTGTGTTCCTGATATGTGAAAAGGTATTTCTTATGCAAAATGTTTTTTTCACAAATGATGTAAAAAGAAACTTTATTCACTTATCTTATCAAAGATAAATAACATTTTATAAACTTCTGCATGAAAAAATATATTAAAAAACTGGTCAGAAACTAAAAACTTATATGTTAGAAACTAAATGTATATGTCAGAAAACAAAAACTTGTATAACATAAACTAAAATTTACATGAAGGGGAAAAAATTAATAATTAACACATTTTTGTTTGTTTGTTTATTTGCTCTTACAGAATGATTGGAAATCTCACGAGGTATCGATTCAGGGTGACTGGAAGCCAAGGAGAAGTGCTGAAGGAAGGGACAATTCTGCAAAGAAGTCACCTTGCGGCTTGTCTTTCAGGTTTTCGATGTCTCGAGAGAATGCTGAGACATCAGGTGAATGGAGTAGCAGCAGCACCAGCACCAGCACCAACACCAGCACCAGCACCAGCACCAGCACCAGCACCAGCACCAGCACCAGCACCAGCAGAGAGTCTTCTTCACCGGGGACCCTTCTCTGTGACCAGCCAAGAAGTTGTTATTTCACGACGGTGGCGTCACAAAAGAAACCATAACCTGAAGAAACACATTCGTTCAGTGTTTCAATCTATGATGACATCTGTTTATGTGGATGAACTTCAGAGCAAAGTTGATGAATTGTGCAATAAAGACTGTTACGGATGTGAAGTCGATCATCCATCTCAAGTCCATCATCCGTGTCTGATGATGGATGCTGATGAGAGGGTTGATAGTTATTTTGATGATGCACTGTCAACAATGTCTCACAGGCTTATCCTCGAAAAGACAAGAGAGCAAATGACATCATCATCCAGAGTTTTATTTTCACTCCTTAACACCAAATGCTATGAAAATGAACCATACTTGAACACTCATTTCTTTACTTCAAGTAGAAAAGAACGAGTAGGACAGAAGCTGAGAGAGAAAATGAGAGATTTTAGAATGTGACGATGATTATACATTATCCTATTTTTATATATCACATTTACCTCATACTACTGTTTCTGCATCAAGTGACATCATTCTGATTAGCTAATGAGGATGGGGCATAACATTGCTTTAATCCTCTCGGAGAAGACAGTGATGTCACACTATGTCACTGATGTTTTTATTATCTATTGTAATCCAAGACACAAGTGTCACTAATGTTTATAAACTGACGTCCAAAAGAAACTTTACCAGAGTTTGAAATCACTCTTGCTCAAAAACAACAAAACATACATGCATGAAGTAAAGTGTATTGAGAAGATCAATATATCAACATAATCAACACTGAAAATGACAATCATACCGCGACCGAGAATGACGTCAGAGCCCCCCAAAGTTGGGTGTGGTACAAAACTCGAGCTTTCAGAATCATGGACAATAGGCAGAGTACATTATCAATCGCTCACGTTCAATAACAAGTCATTAGTAGCGTGTGTGACCACCAAATGCCTCAATACACGCAAAAACTCTTCGACGCACAGAAAAAGTCAGTCGTCTGATGAGGTCACGTGGGATTTGACGCCATTCTTCTTGTAGGGCCAAGATCAGTTCTTGCCGGTTGGCTGGAGAGTGTGGTCGTTGTCGAACACGACGATCCATCAAGTCCCAGAGGTGTTCTATGGGGGACATGTCGGCCGAGCGTCCAGGCCACGGCAGGACGTTGACATAAAGTTACATAAAGTTACATGTTTTACTATGATTTTGGTATGCTAAATATGTTTTATAAATAGGCGTAAAATTTAATATGTATACAGTGCGTGTCGAAGTAATGAAATAATTTTCTTCATCATCATCATCATCATCATCTTCTTATCTGAGTTGAGGGGGTAAGGGAGAGTTGGGGGTGAATGTTTAATGGGTTCCCTTCGTTGACATGGCTGAAGGCTTTTGTCAGCACTTGTACCACTATGTATATATAAGTAGCGTGTTCTCGTGCCACTGCATGGGACCTAGCCTTGCTCCAAGACTGTACTGAATGTTAAGTCCATGGGTGTGTAGTAATTCTAGCCTTATAATAGATAAGCGGACAGTACGCCAGTCTTTTAAGGGGTCAACTTGTATATATTATTAATATAATGTAGAAATTTTGATTTAAACTAATAGTTATTGCCTTAAGAGACTTGTGCAAGTTTACATTATCTGTGCGGGGCCCGTTGCACCTGTGTTCACTGTTTCATTCATGAGGTTGAGCAGATACTGAAACTTTTTTTTTTATGTGAAATTTACACGATATACGGTTTTTCAATTGGAAGGGAGGTCGGTCACATGACCATGAAACTGACGATCATAAGTCGACACAATTTCACGTTCATGTCTTTTTCACGAGTTTGCATTCTTGAAATGACGTAAAACTGACGGACTACTTCCACTTTCCTGGGGGGTACGGGTGGCCCAGTCGTCTAAGGCGCCGCGATTCACTGTGCAGAGTTGCGTCCCTTGGGCACGCCAGAAACCTATGATTATGTTTCTAGGTTTGTCAGCACCATACCTGTGCTCTTGGGGTTCACCGATGTGGAAAACGTCTGAAACCTGCATCACTTCGTGCACATTAAGCAGACATGCCCTGATATAACTGTTATACTTTTAAAAGCGGCGTTACACCCAACTCACTCACTCACTTCACTTTCCCAGGGAAACCCCCGGGGGTTCCCTTTTACAAATATATTAACAAGTTCGGAAATCTCTCCCGTCACGTTTATCGTGTCGGCCCATTTTGACAACTTGTACTTGATGTAATATGGATTACACTGTCATTGTGACTGACTTACTGAAGGAGTTCTTAACAGACCTTTCTCACCCAATGATGATAATTTCTATATACTTTTCTTGTAAACAAATTACATTACCTCTCTTTTTAGGGAACTACTTGTAGTTTATTCCGCCATACAACCAGTTGTTGTATGGCTGTTAGTGTAAATAAACATGAAATCTAGCGCTAAATCCCGCTAAGGAAGAAATAGTTATATAAAAAAATATAAGAATTCACCCTCACTTTGTGTGAGCTCATTGGACTATGAACCTTCATAGGGTGAGGGCCAAACTGAAAGTCATTAATGAAATATCTTTAAACAGGTCGATGGACGTAAGCTCTCGGTTTCTTCGGGTTACTGTTAGAACAAATTGTTTTTTAATATATATTACAAGGATTACAGTATACCACAGTATATACAGGTACAGTGTAGGCGGGAATCGAACCCGGGTCTTTGGCGTGACGAGCGAACGCTTTATCCACTTTTATTCCATTTCTTATTACTATATTGGACAGATTGTAAAACATGACAATCTTCGGTCTTCACAATGAAAAAAGTTTTTGAAGATAAACTGTCAAGGTTTTTAACCTTTTCAGTTTTTCACAATAAGAATATTCCTTACAATACTTTTGTCAATCACTCATTCAATCAAAGTTGCTTTTGCAACAGTTGCGTAAGGATCTTTATTTGTGATTGATCACCAAAATGTACCGTCATTCCAACACACTTTATCATAAGAGAACTCATTTTACGTCATCTACAGCTGTAGGGCAATAGGCCTCCTCGGTCATCTGGTGACCATGTGTCAGTCAAGTTTTAGTAGCATCTGTCCTGTTGCCCGCCATTGTTCTACGTCACAAGAAGAGAAAAGGAAAGACCTGGATATTTACCTTGCATTGTTCCTTCATAATCACCCAGGGTTCTTGTCAATGTATATTCCTGAATGTCCTGGGGCCGACTAATGTGGCGTTATCATGGATCCAACGGAACCTCGAGCCGCGTGGTCTTATTAAGACATGTTATTACATACCTAAACCTTGTAGTTGCCTAAATACTCAAATATGTTACCACGTGTTATCGTAACAGAGGCTCAGGTTAATATGCTCGCACTGAGTTAAATGCAATGTGCTCGACCAGTTACCCCCTGTGAATCGGCATTGTGTAAAGTATGGAATGGAGTTTGGATTGGAATACTGGAATGGAATTTGGAATGAGAAAAATTGGAAATACACATCTGACACTGAAAACAAACCCTGTGTTGTACAGACCCTTATTGATACAACAACGTGAGTTGTATTGACAGTACACGTAAACAACTCCATCTCTCCACCACTTATTGCCGTAAAGACGTGTGCAAGTCTACTCGGTAACATTCTTGGTAATGGATAGACATTATAGATTGTTTTTTTATGATAATCAATAAATATCAAAATATACCAGAATATAAATTGTGTTCTTCAAGTGATGTTCTGTTCATTACGTTATCATAAGTCACGAGACTGATTTACTCTGTTGAATAAACTGTTTCCTCATCTAGGTATGTCTCCTCTCCTTCATCATGGGTGTGGGCAATGGCTGAGGAGAGAAGCTGACAGCCACTTTCCTTAGCGGACCTGCCATATATCGGCGATATATATTTATACTTTCTTTCATGCTGATTGGCTGAAAAGGCAGTCACATGATTTGATATTTGGAGTTCAAACACCTGTGAACGGACAAAAAAGTTCACACGATGTGAACAAATTTTTGTGTGAAATTGATCATGTGATCGCCGGAACTACTTTCCCGAATTTCCCCGAATTCTCGATCGGTGATTCCGATCAACTCGTTTTTCTATTTTCTTTTTAATACCTGCATTTTATCAGCAATGCATTTCGTATTTTTGCCTTGTCTTGTAACATTTATCTGACTTATAAATAAATAAATGCTTTGGTTCTTGTGATTGATGTCGTCTAACTGCTACATGAAACAAAATGGATTGTCCTTGCGGTGATTTGGATATGGAATGGCTGTCTTTCAATATTAACGCAAGTGAAGAAAATTTATTCTGAGGTGAACAAAATTGATTTATTGAGCGATATTGACTTTGATGCCTTGTTTTCGGAAATGACAGGAATCTAGCACCAATGAAAACAATGTCGTACCCTGCTCAGATGTGGCCGCTGACACAGAGCAAACGCGACTGCTCCTGACCAATCCCAAACTAAAATCCGATTTAATATCATATCGGAAAAAAATCTAAGATTTTGAGAAACCATAAAACATAAAAAGGTAAGGAAAGAAACTTAAATTAAACAAAAAACAAAAAAACTTGCCTACCAGTTTTATCGAGTGGTCATCGGAGACGAGAAAATATCCGTTGACGGAATTAGAAATCTACTATTCCGGTTTCTGTGTTGGCCGACCTTCTCCGTGCATTCTAGTTCGAGAAGCGGCGGCGGCACATGAGGAGTGACGGGGCACAGAAATGAAGCTGGCATCAAGTCATACAGTAGGTCCATCTCAGGTGACAAGAAACACCAGCTAAGCAAAGTATTACAGCACACGCGACAAATCCAAAACTCCAAATATAACACACACTGACATTGAAAATTAACACAAAACACACAATTTTCAGAGCACACAGTTCAATCCCCACCAATCCATTCCGCATCGTCCGAATTGGTTTGCGATTATCCAAACACAAGCAACACATTCATAAATCGGTGATATTCCCAATTTGCTAGTGCCATGAGAGGGTTCTCGCGTCGGGGTGTTTTCCATAACTGCTCCATAAACTCATTTCAACAGCAGTAAGTATACATTTCATCCTCATGCTCCCGTTCGACTCGAAATGCACCTCTTTACAAACTTAGGTGACGTCATATATATAAATCCGCGCCTGAAGGATGACCTCGACTCGGTGCATCGAGGTCATGTTTATATTTTTGTAACCTATTTGATTTATCCCAAATATTGTTTGTAAATTTGTTCAGAGAATGAAATTATGTTGACATATTTCTAGATTAAGTTGTATATATTCAGCTATTTGTCTTTGCATAACTGAGTATGAGTGGGGAAACGTATGTGACCGAGAGCCGGCAAATACCGACAAAATAACATTCGGCGAAGCCAGAGGACTTCAAATTTAAGCAAACATTGTTACGATATTATTCGGCGAGTCCAGTAAACTACAAAGTGTGAAATTATAAGAATTGCACGTCAGTTTGGATGGGTTCATTAAAGCGTGAACGGATTAAAAGCGCTGGTTTAACTGTGTGAACCTCCGAGCTTGCGACGTTCAATTCTTAAATAAAGTGTTACATCATATTAGATTGGTGACTTGTTTGTAAATAGGGTATGAGTAGTATATAACGGGTCGCCAGAGGGAAAATAGGGAAGGTGATTGGCTGATCCAAGTCACGTGATCGAATAGGATGACTCATGCATCAACAG